TAGGGAAAGCGGGGTAGGAGAAGGAATTAAATTGCACACAGCTAACAAAACCTGCAGACAGATCTGAATGGTTTTTTGAAGGGGCGGGGGGGGGGGGTTGAGTGAGGAAGGGGAATTTCCTCCAAATTTCTTTAGGGTCTTGTTAATCAGTTTGAGCATGTTGTTAAAATCAGTATCACAGTGGTAGCGTTGGAATTGCAATGGCTTACGGTATGAACAAGATATGATTTGTATCACTCATACATTATGGTGTCTTCTCACTCCTGTCTTCCACGCTGTAACTGCGCTGTAAGAGAGCCATGCTATGGTTGTCTAAATGTGGTCAGGTTAATTTTAGCTCTTATAGTTGGATACAATATTAGCGTTCTTCCCCTTAATATGTGTTTCTTTCTCTTTGTTCCACCCACAGACATATGCTTGCTAGAAACCTGACAACGTGTTGACATCGGTGCATGTGTGTGGTGTATCGAGTATTCTCTGGTTTATGTTGTGGGGTTTTTTTTTAATTATTCCATGCATACTAAAATGTACATTGTTTGTTGTCAAACTGTGCTGTTGCCATCAATTTAACTGACTTGGGGCCAGCCTTTAATGGAGTCACATGCAGGTTTTCCACTAATCTGCCGGTATCTAAAGGCAAAATGTATCCTGAATTTCTTTGGGTCATTTAATCTTAGTACGGGCAACTGCCTGAACACGTGTCACTGAAGATTATTTTTTTTCTTTCCACTGACACAGCAGCTCTGTACTTTTATGCTGCTTTCCCAATAAAGTTGCACTTTCATTCTGATGTTGGAATGAACACAAACCCAATCTAGTCTGGCCTGGATATAAATGAATACTCAGCTGGAGCAAAAACAAAGCAGCAATAAAATGTGGATGATCAAGGGCAGATACATGCACTTCACCTTTTCAGGATTTTTCTGAAATTTTCCTGTATTTCACAAATAAAGATTTGTATTAAAAATACCCAGCAGGTGTCAGTGATTCTTCTCCTGTCCATACTGAACCACTGCTCTCCTGGTCTTAGAGTAAAGGACAGTGGTGGTGTGAGAACACTGATATAAAGCAGCCGGGTTATAACCTACTTTTCCTTTCCAGCAGGCTCTGTCAGAGTGGGAACTGCTCACTGTTCGGTTTAGATCATTTAGCTGAGCAAGGCAACTGGACATCAAGGACGTGATAGTTCAGCAACAGCTCTGTGACAGATACAACCATGTGTGTGGAGTCTTGGTCCTGGGCTGGGCTAGCAGTTCATTGCTGATGGCCACTCCAAGGGTCAGAGGGAAGCTCCTGTGCAGCTGAACCACAGCTTTGTGTCCCTTCTGCTGCTCTCCCAAGGGGGGCTTACCTCCTGATTACTTAAGCAGAGTCTTGAGACAAAACAAAATGTGGGTCTGGGTCCTGTGTGCTACCTCGCTCAGCAGACCCCCAGGCATAGCAGTGTTCAGAAAATATAGTGCAAATTCAGGTCAACAGTGATGGATTAATCTGAAATATTTGACTTCACCACTAAGCAGCCTGGAGGCAGTATTCTAAGATCCCATGCAAGAACCGCTGAAGTGGGGCTTGTAGCATGTTACAGTGAATGTTTTGTCACAAGGTGAAGTAAACCTGAACGATATGCTGCCAACAGCGTTGCTGGCAAGGTCAGTATGCTACTGGCAATGGCATTTTTCAAGTGAAAAAAAAATGTGACGTGCCGTTTATTTCAAAGAAATAAGGCTGATTGATTACCATTATTGCTCAGTTTTGGAATCTAGCAGTTAATGTGGTCTTTGAAAAGTGGCAAGTTTCTGTTTATGGGAGAGAAAGAATTTCCCAGGAGTTGTCAGTGTGTACTTAGTACTATTTGTAACTAGGAGGGTGGTTTTTAAAGGTAGCCAGAAACTTGAAGTGTATCTCAGGCTGGCCTCACAGCCAAGTTGGCACCGTACAAATACACATCAGAAAAAAAAGAAATTAACTGTGAAAATGAAATTGTGCACATACATCCACAGCAACAAAAGAACTCACAGATGATAGGAAAAGTTTGTGTTTAGAATCTCAGGATATTGGCTTATTGCAATACCATTTATTCATGCATAAATATGTAGAAGTAGTTGGGCAGTCTTTAATACCATTTCTCCTTGTTGTGCTTATCCCTGTCTTGCCCTGCTATGGGAGGGAGGAGAATATGCGCGTGCACGTGCATACACACACACAAAATTCCTTGCTGCTGTGCAGTATGGTGTCTTTGTATGTGAAGAAGCACTGTTTGAAAACAGATCTGCAAGTTTAAGTGTGGAGTGAGATGGGGAGGAAAAGAGGGTCTTGATGGAATTCCCACACAACTTATAAATTTTGCCTTTATGCTTGCATAATTGTTACTTGTCTTTCTGATACAACTAATTAAAGAACAGAAACAATTTTAGAAAAGCCAATGGACAGAATTATTAGGCTAGAGTTTAGTATTAAAACTTTAGCTCTGATCCATGTAGCACTAATGCACAGCTTTACTACTCACTGTTTATATTGTCCTTTAAAAAAAAAAAGCCAGTTGAAATCCTTTTCCTGATGCATAAGACAGTGTTTTGGGAGTTTTATCAGTTACAATGTGGAGAATCAGTTGTTTTAGGTTAAATCCATTTCAGTTAGCAGAGAAGTCATCCAGAGTAAACATGGCTTTTCGGTAATGGGCTCGGCATCAACTCATGAGTATTGACAGCAACAGGAAAGCAGTTCTTGCAACATTTGGTAAGATATTTGAGAAACTGTTTGCCAGGTTTGCTTAATAATTAGTATAAAATGGTTGCTTCCTGCTTTAGCAGTATAGTGTGCCAGCAAAAAAAAACACATCTTGACTTGGTATTTGCAGAGCTCAGTTTAAATACAAAATAAATCATGATGCAGACTGCTGTACTGCAGAGAGAATGCTGTTTCAGGTGTAAGTTTCTTCTAATCAGAACGGATTACTATGGGAAGTAGCAGCAAATCTGATTATAAACTAAGCTGCTTGCTAGTAATTTTGGCCTTTGCTTTTAGAAAAAAAGATTTCAGCCTATTACATGTTCTCTGAGTTTTGTAATAAAAAAAATCAGCTGTGGGGATGTGATGTGCCTGCTTTTAATTCAGCTGTTTTCTCTGATCTGTAAGGCACAGTGTTGATGATACGAGTTCTGCCCATGCCTGTGAGCCTGCAAAGGGAGGTTTGCTGCTAATTTCAATTAGGAAGAGGCTGGGAAAAAGTGTCTGTAGTGATTAGGAAGTAAAACAGGACATGTGGAAAGATCCCCAGAGTAAAGTCTGAGAACTTCAAAATGAAACATCCTAGAAAAAGAAGGGGAGAGGGAAACAGAGGAGAGTCACAGCAGAGAAGGGGTAGAAAAATGGTGTAATTCCATAAGTACCACCATGCCCATTTCCGTGGGTGATCTCATTTGAAGCAATAGGAAGGAATTAGTTAAAACATGCAACCCAAACAGCTTTTATGATATGAGAGAAGGCTCATGTGTACAGACCCTAAAACAGCTCATGAGGAAACAGAAGGAAAATATGTCCATGACATCATTGCTTCTAAAATCAGCCTTCTTGCTTTTGATAAAGCTCCAGTATTTTTGTTTTTTGACTACGACTCTCCTATTGTGTAAATCCTAAACTCATTCTTGAGTTACTTTTCTGATGACTCACAGGAGCGTGGAAAGAAGGCTTGGGTTGTGTGGTGGAGCAAACAGCTCTGGCTCTGTGTTACTGGGATGGATGTTTAGTGGCTTAGGGAATGATGACACATGAAAGCGGGGAAACTGTCTGGCTTTGCACAGTGCAAAACAGCAGGCATTTCAAAAAACAGCCAGACCTTTTGTCCTGTACAAGAAGGCACATGTACTTCGGTCAGATCTGTAGCTGTGCATGTCCAGCTGCAAGCAGAGAGTAAAACAACTGGAGAAATAGTAGGATTTGATTCATCAAACCAGTCAGCTGCATAATGCTGTGGAAAAGAGTAATTAATTAAAGTGTGACTGCCTGGCCTTTTCTAACTAGTGTTATTTGGGTTTCCATACTCTCTGCAGCGGCTGAGACTCAGCCTGGTGTTCTTGTGAGGCTGCCCCGCATCGGCAGCAAGTGTTGGTTCACCCTTATGGCCGTGTCTGCCAAGCTCTGGTATTTATCATTTTCTCTGGAGTGAGAGTGAGGCGATGTGTGGCCTTCTGTAGGGAGACTGGACATGTTTAGCGTTCGGCAGCCCCCTTCCCCATGGGAAGTAGGAAAAATCTGGAGCTGCAGTAAGGCTGAGCAAGCTGCCCTGTGTCACCGAATATCTGCATCTTAATCCGTGTTCTCAGGAGGACTGCGTTTCTACGCAGCCGCTAGGAAATGGGATTTTTGAAGTTCCTTCCTGAGTCTGACTTCTAGACATACTTCACTTGAAAGATCACAAAGGAGGATCCTTTAGAAGGGAAACCGCTTCTTAAAGACATACGCTTAGAAAGGACAGCGAGTTTAGACCGATATTCATCTATTGTTCTGCAAACTCTTAAGCACTTCTCTGTTGCTGGAATCATACCCCAGTCACCTGGTTCCTGTGAACGTGAAGTGACTGGATCAAACTGAGGAGGTCAAAACACTTTTCATATTTAAAACCTTGTCATCTTTTGTTAGCTTAGAAGTACAAAGCTTCGACAGTGCTTGAGACATGGCTTTAGAGACATGTGGAAGCTGCCTGAGTTGTCTGCTGATACCGCTTGCACTTTGGAGTATTGTTGTTAACATCCTATTATACTTCCCAAACGGGAAAGCTTCGCAGGCTGCCAGTTACCAGCTTCCCAACTACGTGTGGTATTTTGAAGGGATCTGTTTCTCAGGTGTGATGGTAAGTGTCAATTCTATGGATTTTTAATGAATTGCGTTCTACTGCAAATAATACTGGGTTACTGTGCACTAATGTAATTGTACTTTTAAAGAGAATACGGATTACTTTGGCAAAAACACTGCAGGCAGAACAACTTCATTAAACTGAAAAAAATTTGAATATAGTGAATGACATGCGAAGTGTACTATTTAATTTCATGTAATTAATTTTGCAGGGCTGACTTTTTTTTCTGATGGCTTTTTGTTTACATGTAATTTACACTTGTGGCACTACGTTGATTTAATCCTCTATGGAGGCTGAGTCAGAGCTCTTTCACCAAAACAAAATTTAACAAAAACTAAAAAAGCTTCTCAGAACGGTTCAGATGTTTTTAAGAGCTGTATGCAGGCCAGTATTTAGAGGACTGGATACAGTTCACAATGCGTCAAGTGCCACTGTTGTTAGGTTAAATACAGAATATTGTCTGGCATAGTAGAATTCCCTCCATTACATTTGTATTATGCTCATCTGCAGTAATAAACTAACACATAGTTGCTCACTGCTCGTACTGTTCACTGCATTCATGAAGAGCTGTAGCCTCAGAGACAGAAAGCAGTTACGTAATAAAAGTGTATGCACGCAATCAATATTTAAGAATGTCTCATCTGCATAAGTAAGGTGTTTTTATGAAGATGCTGAACTGGAAGAGTCATTAAAACATGTGACATTCTTTTGAAATGGTGTATTCTTCCTAAAGCAGAAGAAAAAACTAATCTTTTCTAGTGGAGGGAAAAAATACCAGGCACATCATTTGAGCAGAAAAGCATAGCTGAAAATTTGTGAAAAAGTTAACTGCAACAGTGATATTCATACAGTGAAGCATTTTTAGCCCTAGGATCATTACCAATTTATTAAAAACACATATATTATCCTGTTACAAACAGGACAGCAGCCTGTGAGAGGATGGTACTGTGATTCAGGAACATTCCCTTTTCATATTTCCACTTTCAAACTAGTGCCTCTCCTGTGGCAGTTTGTGGTTCTGGAGTCCAAACTCCATTTACTGAAATTACTCTAGTATCAGGTTTAAATAATACTATAGTCTGGGAAAAGCAGTATGGATACTTGACAGAGAAAGCAAATGAACATCCAGGTGAATTTACAAAAAGCTTGTACTACTGAGTTTTTCTAGCATAACTGTATTGGTGAGGAAGGCGATACACTGATCCCTGCCACGGTCAGCAAGAAGCTGTTGAACTGATGTGGTTGTAGCGATAAAATACCCTTCCTTTAATTGGTATTGACTCTTTTACTTGTGAGCTTGGTTTTACTCTTTCAGCTTCACTGGTATAGCTGTGTCCATGCCAGTAGCGCTTTGCTGTGGCAGGAGACCCTGTACTCTTGTCTTTTCAAGTGCAAGAAACAAGTACGGCGACAGCCTAATAAGAACAGCACAGTTCCACGGTGTGCCTTGAGTAACTGTGCGTTCCTACTGAGCAGCTTTACCATTTCAACCGAGCGTAACAGATGCAAGTGCCCACCTTCCACGGGAGAAGGAGGCTTTGCCTTAATATTTGCAGTCATTTCACTGACCTTATAATGTCCCCTTATAGATCCTTCTGTTGGCAGTCATTCTAATAACACTGGAGTGTAGCATGTTCTATCGGTGCTGCCAGAGTGAGAGCTGTAACAAAACCTACAGGGTGAGTCTATGTTCTATTTTTGTGCATGTCTCCAGGATTTGTTCCAATGTCTTCCTGCTGCCCTGTTCCCAGCACTTCCTCCTGCACTCTCCGTGGGTCTGTTTCCACTTCCTTTCATGGAGGAGTATTCTAAGTCGGGTTGAGAGGTTACAGAAAGCGTAGCTTCCTCCTTCTGATGCGTAAGCAGAATGAAAGAAAAACAAACCACAAAAAAGCTTTGTTAAGTAAAATAAGAATGTAGAAGGCCTGAGAGTTTCGATGAAGTGCCACAACTGAGTAGCTTCGTCCCCTTGCTTGCATTATTTGGAAGCTATTTTTTCCAGTGACAACTCTATATATGCTATCCGGGATGCAAACATGTTTAATGTATGGTTGTGTTCCTCTAGCATTTTGGGAAACAATTTTGCAAAAATGCAAGTTTAAAAAAAAATAAAATAAAACCCCCAAACAATATTTAACTGAGAGTTGTGAAACTGTCTTAAACATTGTCTTAATCTTTATTTTGTATGTGTATGCTTACTATTCTTTACCTGGTATTTTTCTTTGTGAATAATGACAACTGGGACAATCAAATGGGAAATTCAACCATCAGGAAGTAGCTAGGCAGGCTGAATGTCTGTATTTTCTGTGGACACTGTCCCACACAGTAATATTTTTCTCTCTTCAGAGTTTTATTTCAATTGTGCTAGCCCTGCTTGGAGTTGCTTTCTCTGGATACAGTTGCATCATTTTTACCTTGGGGTTGATCCAAGGCCCCTTCTGCAATTCGTCAGGTGGATGGGATTATATCTTCAAAGACACTGCTGGAGGGTAAGAAACATCAGTGTAACTCTTCTGGAAGAAACTGTTCATCAAAGCAATAGTCAGACAAATTCTCAGAGTTCTACACAAAATGGCACAGTCTCTTGAACACAAGACCTAGATTGGTGAATGAGGTTTTTCAACTTCTTGAATGAGCACCAGAATCATCACAGGTATTTGCCTCCTTGTAAGGAAAGATTAAATGTAAGAATGTTTGTACTGATCACACCTGGAGGTCCATTTAGCTAAGTGTCCTTCCTCTGGTGGTGGTCACAATCATATGTGTAGTAAAGATTGTAAGATTAGACTGAGTGTAGACGGACACTTTCTCAGCATATTCTCTCAAATTCCTCAAGTTTTTAATTTAAAAATTACATTATTATATATAATATAATATAATATAAATGTTATATAATATTTTATATTTAATGACTCAGTAGGTTTCTCTTAAACTCCTAAATCTCAATGAAGTCTGTGGTTTGATCACTGGTACTTTTTGCATACAGCTGCTGTATCTCAATAAAACAGGTAAGTGAGGTAGACAAAGTGTTGTCCATGTCTCAGCCTCCTAGAGGCATGAAAAGTTTGATTCAGATCAAAGAGCAGCAGAGGCTGCTTTTGCAAGATTTTACATTCTCCTTTTAAAAGATCAAAGTTTTATAAGACTTTAATATTTCGAGTCATATAATGCCAAGCTCTTTCAGCTGCATTTGAATGCACTGAGGAATACCTATGTCAGAGGATCACAAGTTCCTTCAGCATCCAACAGGAATATTTCCTACACTATGGCCTTCTCTGACTTGTCAGCTTTACTTTAAAACACCAAAGTGCATCCTGCAATCTCTGCTATGTATGACCAGCATTACCATCCCATTTGGAATACAAATACGAGAGTTTGAGTTCAACAAAAAGGGCCACATGCTGAATAATGCACTCCAGATTTGACTTAAAGCATTTCAGTTATAAATGTTTAGAAAAAAAGCAACGACCCTGAGCAAGTGAGTCTAACAAGGGTTCTTGCAATCGACCTCCAGGTTATAGCATGTCTCACAGTTAAAAGGGCACGTCAGCTGTGCGCATTATGATCCTCAAGGATGCAAAGCATGGCTCTAGAACAACTGGAAGTTGCACATGGTGACACTTAGCTCAGCTCTGCCATTCAGGCAGCATGCACTGGTTAGAATGATGGCATTGGGGTGTTCCTGCTCTCTGCACAGTACTGATGTCAGCTGGACTTAACCTAAAGCTGAAATTAAATCAATAAAAGGAAAATTCCCATTTTAAACTTGGCTTCTGCTATTTGAAAAAATGGCAGTGTCTCTCTAACCCTTGCGTGTCTAGCAAGGTGTCCTGGTTTCAGCCAGGATAGAGCTGGTTTTCTTCACAGAAGCTGGTGTGAGGCTATGTTTTGGATTTGGGATGAGAAAATGTTGATAACGTGCTGATGTTTTGGGATGTTGCTAAGTAGTCAAGGACAGTCCAGCTTCTCGTGCTGGCCGGCCAGCAAGAAGGCTGGGGGTGCACGGGGAGCTGGGAGGGGACACAGCCAGGACAGCTGACCCTGGCTGGCCAAAGGGATATTCCATACCATATGACATCATGCTCCGTATATAAAGCTGGGACGAAGAAGAAGGAAGGGGTGGAGGGACGTTCGGAGTTATGGCATCCGTCTTCCCAAGAAACCATTACGCGTGATGGAGCCCTGCTTCCCTGAAGATGGCTGAACGGGGAGTAGTGAATAAATTCCTTGTTTTGCTCTGCTTGTGTGCGCAGCTTTTGCTTTACCTATTAAACTGTCTTTATCTCAAACCATGAGTTGTTTCGTTTTTACCCTTCCGATTCTCCCCCCCATCCCGCCGTGGGGGAGTAAGCGAGCGGCTGCATGGGGCTTAGTTGCCGGCTGGGCCTAAACCACGACACAGGGAAACTAATGAAGCAAATGTATTTGAGGAAAATAAGTCTTTTCACTCAGCCGAGTTTGACAAACCCATGCAGGAGTTATGCTGGTGTAATGAAAGACTAGGGTCTGGCTCCTAAACGTGACGCATCTAAAGGCCAATGTTTTTTCTATATATTTTAGGTAAAATAATGTGTATTTAAATTGAAATGCACCCACCACATCTAATTTACTTCACATTACTCTTTTTCTAATAGGTACCTCACAGATTACCCTGCTTGGTCTCGGTGCACCGAACCGGCTAACATAGTGGAGTGGAATACCATTTTACTCTCTGTTCTGATAGCTCTTAGTGGACTGCAGTTGATCATCTGTGTTCTCAAAGTGGCTGCTGAGTTGAAACGGACACTCTGTGGGACCTATTCTGTTTTTGTCCAGGTAAGAAAATATCTGAGGTAACGTCTTCAGCATCGCAAAGTCAGTTTAGCTTCAGCAGCTTCTCTCAGCGGAGGGCCTACCGTTTTGATTTACGCATTCTCTATGCTTTATTTATTACTGCATTTTTATTACCAGAGGATATGCACTGATAATAACTCTATTGTGTTTGATTCTTCCACTAATGCCTTGTGGTATACAGGGATTGGTGACGGCTCACTCCGACCTTTATGGCTAGGATTGAGAATTTAAACATGTGCCTGGGAATTCAGCCCTGCTGCCAAGTCCATTACTGCTCTGTCAGCAGAGGTGTCTGAGCACCTTTCTTCTAGCATTCCACCGAAAGTCATTCTTATCAGTGTGTGGGCTTCACGGCAAAGAGCAGGAGATACAAGCGGTTAATATCGAGCTGTGATGGAGGCATCTGTTTTTACTGTGTTTTCAGTAGGTTATTGAAACAACAAGTGAGAGGGCTCCGCTTTGGGCTGCAGAATTCGTTGGAACGCAGAGCTGGAGGGCCTGCTGCTGCTACGCTGCTTGCTGGGGTGAAGTGGCGCGGTTTAGCATGGCATTCTGCTTCCCCAGCTTGGGAGGGAGAGTGAAATTAGACAGGCTTACCCCTCCCTGTCCACCGGCACCAAGGAGCCCTGGGGGTTTTTTCGTAGCCAACGATCCCGGCAGTGGCAGCACCTTGAGAAAGATTTCCTAATGAGGAAGAGCAGCAAGCCCCAAAAGCATGCGCGCACCCGCACACACGCACCCGCGCGCCTGCGCACGCGCACAGAGCAGGGCTAGTCCTGCCACGTAAGCGGGAAGAGCTGGGAGGGCAGAGCCGGCCGGCCTCTGCAGCACGAGGTCTCCTGGCGCCGCGGAGCCGGTCGGCCAGGGCCGGGCAGCTGCAGGGGCCGCAGGGGCCTTGGGCAAGCGGGCAAGGAAGTGCTTCTTGTAGGAACTCACCGTGAGGCTGAGGTCAAGGCCTGAGGCAATGTCTCTCAAACATTCCTCTTGCCAGTGGAAGAGCCTCATCAGCCTGGGACCCACCCGGCTCCCAGTGGCATCTGCAGCAATACTGGCAGCTTGTCCATGGGCGTGGAGCGGGGTCACCTCCGCAGCCCCCAGCCTGTGTTGGATTTAGGTTGGATGTGGATGTTGAACAGTCGAACAACTTCCATATGAACTCGAACTGAAAAAAAAGAGGGCAATTCCTTCCTTTCTTATTTGCAGGCCAGGATTCTCTGAAAGTGGCAAGGAAATCTTCACAGCTTCTCCCTCACCTCCAGAAAAAGAGAGAAACGGCTTCTCCAACATTTACGGTGGTAGATTCGGGTGCTGCAAAGGCAAATGAAACCCTTGTCTTAAATCTTTGTCTCTCAAGCCTCTCTATTTTGCATGAAGTTATTTGAACTGTTTGACACCTACATTTTTCGAGTTGTTTTCTAACCTGCCTGGTTGTCCCTGGCAGTGACTCTTCATTTTTTTTACACTCCAGCTTATTCTGACAATAGGGAGGTTTGAATACCATGAAACTGCTTTTGTATCGAAATCACCTTTGTTTGAATAAACCGCTGTAGAACTGCTGTAGAACTGCTTTCATACTGCCCTCTCTTTGTTTAGAACACAATTTGTTCTTCCAAAAGGGCCTGGTTCAAAGCCCTGTACGTCAGGAGGGGTTGTTGCCTTGAGAATTAGTGCACTGGACGAAGCCATGATTTCTAAATGAATAAATTTTAGTCACAAGCAGACAATGGCAGTCAGGAAAAGCAGCAGCCTATCCTGCTCATTCTATCTAGGAAGTTCTCAACTGCCCAAAGCAGTTACTAAAAAAACTCTGTTATAGAGTCTTCCTGAGGTGAGTCTTTTAGAAAGGCATCCAGGCCTGGCTGAAACATTACATAGCTCTGAAGTCAGCCGTGCTAATTAGTACACGTTAATAGCTGCACTGTGTTTCTTTTTATTTTATCCTCAAAGGCAAACTTTTGTTTTGGTTTTTTTTTTAGTCAAGTATTATGTGACTTGGGGGAATATGTGAGGGAACCTTGTGAGCATCCAGTGCTAGCTTGTTAATACTCTTCTAAATACACTGACCTTGCTGCAATGGAAGGCTAATGTTCTTGACAATAATAATCAGATGAAAACAAATAATGATCTGTTTAAAATGAGCAGCTGAAAACTGTTCTTAATTCCTCAAAGAATTATTATTTAATTCCCAGTGCAAATTCAGGGATTCACAATAAAATGAAATAAATATGGCTCATTTGCAGCTGCATGGGCAACGTTTGGCTGTATTCTGGACTTTGGTTTTGAGAGAATGAACACCCAGAGGAAAGTGAAGTATGTGCAGTAATGCATTTATCCCTATTACATTGGGACTAGTGGAATTCAGCTGTATCAACATCTAATATTAAACACTGTTAGAACTGCAAACCATACAATAAGTGGCAGCTGTGGGTAAGGTACTTCTTAGGAAAAATAAAGTGTATCAGTGATTTAATTCTGTTTCGAGACCATATCGAGGTTTTGCCTAGATACTCCTTTATCAGATTGTTTTGAAAAGCTGATTTCTTTCTGTAGAATTTGAAGAATGCATCTAAAGTTTTAATTGCTTCATTTCTACTAAGTTTCAAGAATTAAAAAAGAAATTAATTATGTTTAAGAATGGGGCTAGTCTTTTGGGCGATGGTTCGACGTGGCATGGATGTTCAGAGATGCATGCTAAAAAGGCACGATTACAAAATGGGGACTGTTTGCAACTGCACACTTTTTTTTCCCTAGGCTTAAATATACACCATATCATGTATTTACTTAAATGATAATCCCACATTCTTATGGATTTATGCATGTTGTTTGCAGACAGAGGGAAAGGAAAGAAAACTTAGTCAACCCATACTCCTGCCAAACATCTTGGAGAATCTTGCTGATTTCATGCCTGCCAACCATGGAGTTGTTTGTTTTGAAAATGTTAGAAATATTTGAAAAAAGGTTTTGGTTATTTGGATGAAAAATAGTATGTGTGGGGTAGACATTCAAAGCAGACAACCCCTAGAATTGCTAAATATTCCTAAAGTGAATGGCGCCATTTCACTGAGGAAAGCAGACAATCAGGGTGCTCTATTCAGACTCCAGCTCAGCCATGGGGAAAATACAGGCTTATCTTTAGGCAAACAGGGTCTATTGAGACACGTTTTGCTATGCAGGATGAGAGCAACGAAATACCTTAAAGTTACACCTGGAAACTCTTAACCCTTTGTCTTGCTCCTGGGTGTGTCCTTTCCACTTTTCAGTAACTTCTGTCTCTGACCATGGAAAGTTCTGAGCTTGGCAGGCAGAAGACACAAAGAACAGCCTCTACTTTGACAGTGTTTTCCATAGTAGTAGTATTAGTGTCTGTACCTGACCACCAGCAAGGCTTGGCTGTCTTTGAGACATCCTTTTTTCTGTGATTGTGTCATGTGAATTTACATTTCCACTCTACCACAGGCTGGTATCTCCTATTTCAGTGGCTTAAATCAAAGAGAGAGATGTGTAATTTAGCTCTTGTTGGACGTATTGATTCTGCAACCCTCTGTATCCACAATCCAGATATTGGCACCTCCATTGCCATAGCCAGACTCAACTGTGACTTGACAGCTCAGCCTTTAAATGGGCAGTTTATTAATTTGAAATTGGTGGTAAGAATACTAAAGGCTAACAGTGGGTTACATTTACAAATTTAACAACTTGTTTCACACGGCGCTTTTGGATGTAAGGCAAAGTTAAACTCGATCTAATCAATTAAAGTTGTGACTCAATCCTAAATACAGTGCCTCTAACAAGAGGCAGTAGGAACTGTGGCTGGTAACAAAACCAAGACTCCTGTAAGGAATATTAACTGCCTTGAAATCCAGACATAACTGGTGACTCTTGTGGTGGTGGTTGCGGTCAAACACAACCATCTTGGCTCTCCGGCTGCAGAATGCAGAGAGAAGTGGGCCACAGAGCCAGGACAAAGCTCACACCATGCTTGCACACAGGAAACGCTTTTTTTGAAGGTTCCTGAACCTGAAGTGCACAAGTTGCCTGCTGAAATCCACACATAAAGCACCCTGAGCATACCTGGAGGAAAGCTGCAGATTTCAGTTTATAAACCCCTGTACGTGAGGAGTTAATGCCGAAACCTGGAAGTAAAACTTCCAGCATTCTTTGTTCCTCCCAGCCAATGCATTTTGCCAGAGTATTATGGTTGCTGCATCTGGAACAGGAATTCCACTCATCTAAAACACTGCAACTGGAAATAGCTGCAGAGACTCAGTTTTGACCACAAATAATTTTGGGCAGAGATTTGTGGTAAAATACTGTGGAGCCCCATCCACCTTTGCATTCTGGGGCATATTACTCCTCGTGTAGATAAAAGTGAGCCACACTGAAGTGCAATTTCCTGATTGCTAATTCTTCACATGTTGGATGGAGGTTGTTTCCCCCATTGAAGAAGAATAGGATGGCAGAGGAATAATGAAGCTCCCCATAACTTTAGAGGTTATTTGCCTGCAAAGGTTTGCAAAAGGTCAGAACAGCAGCATGGGCAGCAGACTATAAATGCATCACTCAGATTAGGGAATTACGAAATTGTGGGGTTGCAATTCAATCTCACTGGGAGCTTTTGCTGAGACTTTTTTGTTCAGAATATTCCTTTTTTCTTTTTTCTCTCAAGGAAATTTTGAAGTAAAAGATCAGCTTTATATTTTCAATGCATTTTTGAGGACATTCAGAAGTCAGCATTTCAGCATCCTCAGTATAAGAAATGAGGTATTGTGGTTTAAAACAATAAGGGGATATTCATGACACCAAACTGCAGACTCATGATTTAAACAACTAAATTAGATGCTCAGTATTCTTAGGCCCTGTTTACCAGGAGAGAGATGTTCCTGCTCTTCAGACATACCCTGAATAAAGTAATACAGGATTGGGAAGCTCAGTCACCTCTGTCAGGTTTCTGAGTTCCTTAAGAGAAAGATAATAGGAGTGTG